TATTATCGATATCTGATATATTTAATGCCCGAATAGCTGTGCTGAATCGGATAAATAATTAATAATTTACTAAAAAAACGGGTGCGCCCTTTTCCCTCTCACGCACTCATATGTACTAATAATTGTGCATGTGTGAGCAATTCAATAAAACCTGCTATCGCTATTACTATTTATTAAAGCAATACATAAATTACATTTAAAATATAAAATTTTACATTATAATGTTTATTACATCTATTGCTATTATTTATTTATTAATATCACAATTAATTATATCTAATTATTAACCTTCATTATAGTCAATAATACCTGTATCATACCAGGTCTTTAAGCAGAGCTTTGCTTTAGACAACCTATTACGGTTTGGGTGATTGTATTTTTTGCTTTCAAAAACATTTCTTCGCTTAGCACACTTGTTTCTTACATACTCAAGTAACCTTTTGCATTTTCAAGAGCCTGAATTAACATATATCAGTGGATTGTGTTCCAGAAGTCCAAAAATTTACAATTTTTCTCAGTGAATGTAAAGTACTCTTCAAGAATATTGAAAGTAATTTTCAAACTTCCATTACAATGTTTTTTAAAGTAATTCATTGGAGTATCATAAGTATCTTCAGTAATAATAAGTAAATTATTATATTATGCATAAATACTATAAAATAGTTTATGCACAAGTATTGTCATTTCATTTTGTATGAAAATAATTTCATAGCTGGGTCTTATTAAAAAAATTAAAAAAACTAATTGTCATTATTTGAATTTTAAAAAAAACTTTTCAAAATTGATTTTGTTTTTTTTATTAACTAGCCTCTTTAGATTCAGATTTTTATTCAAGTATTGTTAAATGAAAAGTTCAAGTCCAAAGCCTCAAAGAAACCTTCTTATATTAAAGAATACAACTAGCTATACATACACTTTTGGTATCTAATTTAAGTAGTCCACCTACAACACACTTTATAGATTCTATACTAAATACTATATTTGTAACCCAAACTACAAATGTTATTTATTTAATTCCTCTATAATGCAATTCTACTTGTGTCACCAGTACCATATTTCCTCAACATGTGTACCTGGGGTATTTCTCTAGCCCATTTTAGTACCCAGAGTACACATATAGAGGGAATATATTGTATTAGTGGGAGTATATATATCAGTTTAAACTTTTATTGGCTGCAAGTAATTTCTATTACTGATTGGCTAAATGTAATCATGCGTATAAGTATAAGTCATAGATTAGATGTCATATATAAAGAAAAATCTGATTGTACATATGTATGTACTTAACAGTTAATAGATGTTATTTGCTTGCCCATCTTATTAATTGCTTCTTGCCTTTTAGCATCTTTATTTCCAAACTTGGAGTGTGGCCTTGTGAATTAGTAATGCACATAATATGATGTGGCCTCTGAACCAATATTAGTATAAAAAGAAAAATAAATATTCTAACACATATTATACTGTATACAAATTTTTTCAGCACCAAAATGTCTTCACACAATATCAGAAGAACTGCCCACATTACTAATAAAAGCCATTGTTCATGGAGTGTCAAAGAGAAGCTTATAGTTATTAATTACTATAAGCATGTTAAAAATGTAAGAGCTATTACAAGAAGATTTGAAATTAAACCAAAACAGGTTTGTGAATGGCTAGACAAAAAGCAAGAGCTTTTGAGCATTGCACCTTATACTTTAATGCTTAACCATAGTCATCAAGCCCAATTTTCATTATTAGAAAAAAGGCTTGTTGAATGGATTGATGGACACCATAAAGAGCAAAATACTGTCACCCGATATATAATTGAAAAAAAGCTAAGGCCTTAGCACAAACTAATAAATTTAGGGATATTTACCCTGATATTGGTGCCTTTAAATTTTTTAATAACTGGTTAAATCGGTTTTTGTATTGCCATAATTTTTCAAACCGTAGATGTACGACAGTTACACAGCATCTTCTAGCTAATCTTGAAAAAAAAAGTGAATTCTTAAGTTATATTTTGTTTAAATGTCAGAAATATGACTTTACTATTAGTTGCCTTGGCAATATAGACGAATTGCTCTTATCATTTGATATGCCCAGCCTAGTTACTATTGAAAAGCATGGGTCAAAAACCGTAAGTATCAGAACTACCAGACATAAAAGAAAAAATTTTACCATAATCCTCAGATGTCTCACTAATGAAATGAAGCTTCTGGCTGTATGTATTTTTAAGCTGAAGTTTATCTCTTGTGAAGTGTTTTCTCAGAACATTATTATAAGAGTAAACGAAAAAGGATAGTATAATAAGAATGATATGTACTATTAGATTAATAATATTTGAAGCAAATGTAGTGAACAAACCAATCCGTGATTCTTTCTGATTTTGGACTCCTTTAGAGGTTATTTAGTGGATCCTGTTAAGTGCCAATTTAAAGAAAATAACACTCATCTCACAGTAATTCTCAGAGGGTTAACTAGCAAACTATAGCCTCTAGATGTCACGATAAATAAGAGCTTCAAGAATAAGATATATTATTAAAATATTTTGATTCTTTAATAAGTATACAGCATTAATAAAATTTAAATTTTTTAGGTGTGTCATTATTATAATAAGTGGATGTCTATTATGATCCATCAATTAACACCTGCTGGACGTTTTAAGAAGCCATTATATACTACTCTTGCAAAATGGGTAAGGGATTTGTGGGAGGAGGTTAACCCTCAGTTGATAGTAAAAGCATTCAAGTGTTGTGGTATTTTGGTCAAAATGGATGGAACAGAGATGATTAGGTTTTCGATTATGATTTGTTAAATGAGAATCTAATTAATGAAAATGATGAAAATCGTAAAGTAATTAATTTTGATGATATTGAGAGTAAGAATTATGAAGAAGTTGAGAGTAATCATAATATTTGGGTATAGTTATAAAATTCTAAATTGTATTTAATTCTATAAATAAAATTTGTGAATTTTAGAGTTTAGTTTACTGTCAAATTTAAATTGAGTTTCAAGTTATTTTTTATTAAATGTTTTGCTATTTGCTTAAGCAAATTGATTAATTTTATATATCATAATCTGACTTATTATTTATGGATTTTGACAAGAGAAATCAGTTATCAGATTTTATATTCATTGAAGTTTTATTGTTTTTTTTTGCAGAAATCATAAGACTTCGAGTTTATATATTTCAGGTTCATATTTAATATTTAATATTTTAATATTTCTGTACATTTCATTAAGACAATTAATATTTTTTTATAATTTATTTACATTTTACTAATTTATTTTCAATTAACTACTTATATTGTGATTTCCATATCTTTTAAATTCAATTACAATTACATCGAAGAACAGCATTATCATGTTAATTTAACTATTATACTTGGATAAATTCCTTTCATACTCACATAAAGTGAATTCTTCAATAAAAACATCATATTAACAACTAAGGATAAAAAAAAGGCACTTAAGTGGTATTAGAAACTAGCTAAAGACAACAATCCTGATAAACAGCTTATTTTTGAATTCTACAATGAAAATGGTATAATTAAAGTTAAGAATGAAAAAAAACAATTGAGTAATATTTGAAACCTGCTAAAAGTAGCAATTCTGATGAGGCAGCTTAACTTGAACTTTGTAATGAAAACATCATAGGCACAGATAATAATAAAAAAGGCATTCAAGTAGTATTCAAACCTGTTAAAAGTGACAATCCTGATTGGCAACCTAATCTTGAATTCTGCAAATAAAAATGGTATAATTAAGGTTAATGATGAATAAAAGACAATTGAATGATATTTGAAACCTGCTAAAAGTGAATTCTAATGAAGCAGTTTAACTTAGACTTTGCAATGAAAATGGTATATGCACAGATGAAAAAGCATTTGAGTGATATTCAAACCTGCTAAAGGTAACAACCCCGATTGATAGTCTAATCTTAGATTTTGCAAATGAAAACAGTGTAGACACAACTAATAATGAAAAGTTCAAGTCCAAAGCCTCAAAGAAACCTTCTTATATTAAAGAATACAACTAGCTATACATACACTTTTG